CGGCCCGGCAGCAAAACGAACACACGCGAGTTTATTTCCTGTCATTTTCATTTCATTCTTGTATCTATTTTTTAAACGTTATTATTCCATGTTGTTATTTCGGCTGGCCCCTCTCTGCCCGGCGGGGTGGCGCAGGCGCCGAGGAGCGCGGCGAGGCAGAGCCCCGCGCCCGCACGCAGCCCGTCCCGCTGCCCTGTCCTGGGAACTGGCTTTTCCAGAAGCTCCGGCTGCACCTACAGAAGAGCCGGGGTGTGACAGGGGCTGGCGAGGCCCTTCCCGGAGCACGCGGGAGGCGCCGGCGGCCGAGGCCGCGTGCCCGGCATCCCGCGGGCGAGCGCCCGGTTCGACGCGCGCCCCGAAACCAACGCGCTGTCCGCCCCGCGGGGAGGACTTGTTGCAATAACCAGGGTTTATTGCGACGCTGYTTCTCCCTTCCCGGACAGGCAGTGAGTAAACACACACGTGGACAGGGATAGCCCTTTAAAATGGTGGTACCGCTAAGTGCACCCTGGTTCCAGCTGCGTTTCGCCCTCGGATCCTGAGGAGGTAGAGCGTGTCCTTGGTGTGCTCGGAGGCTGGTGTCTGCGACCGGGAAGCCTCCTTGCTGAAATGGATGGGGAGGCAGCAGCCCGCAGGGAAATCTGCGCCGGACTGATCTAATTAAGTGTTGTCGGCGCTTAACCGGGTGCTTGTTGTTGCTGAGGAATTAGAGGCCTTCGAGGGGAGCGGACRCGAGGCAGGCAGGTGCTTACGGGCAGCGCCACAAGAAACTTGGCCCTGAACATAAATCATCTGAACATTTTCCGTAAAAAATCTGAAATTTCAGCCTTAAAACACTGAAAATTTTAAACAAATGTTCCCCAGTGGTTTTTGAAACTTATACTCACAGTTATAGCAGAGCTGGCAAAGAGGAAGCAGATTTCTTAGAGCACAAGTATAAGGAAATGACCARTATTAGGGAAAGGGCAGGGCTCTTAAAGCTGTCAGGCATCCCTCTCCTGCTTGGTGCAAATAGCTATTTTTAAAAGTCCTGATCCTTACAAGAGCCTGATGCTCCCATAATAGAAGTGGTGATTGTGTGAACAAAATCATACTTACCTTTTCCCCCTGAAATCTATGGTTGACAGGCTATGGAAAAGATGTCCCATGTGCCTTGGGGTTTACAATTGATTTGTAGCTTCCCATCTAATTTATAGGGATGCATGCAGAGAGTGCCAGTGTTAAAAACTTTCATGTATCTGAAGCAGTAATTTCGAAGCCTAGAAATCTCCCCTTGCTGGTTTTGTGTGTGTCATTAACGCAGCTGGTGCGTAGCACATGTGAGAAACTACTGTGCTGTCACTGGGACGTAGCTTTTATGTATATATTTGGTTTGTTTTCATTGAGAGCTTTGTTTGATTCCAAGTAATGTCTTCCGCTCTCGCCTGGTGGCGAGTCATTGCTGATGACATAACTTGGATCCCCACAGAATGTAGCAAAAGGGAAATCTTTATTGCACTCCACTTCCTGTAGCTTGCAGAGCTAGCCCTCAAGCTAGGAAGGAGCGATAGGAAAGCAATAAAGATACACTTTGTTATTTAGTTCACTTAGCCTTGTTCTTTCAGTTTTTAAACATCAGATATTTCCCTTCTTGTGATACTCCCCCTGTTCTCTAATGACCTTTTGATTTCCTCCAGAGTGGCTTTTTGTTTTGAAGTGTCCTCTCTGTGGCTTTGTGTGGCSTGTTGTCAAAACAGAAAGTGTCAGATACCAGTAGCTGCTGAACGCTGCTCACTTAGTGTCCCTGTGCTGTCTTCAGTTAAGGCCTTACCTTAGGCCCTTTCTCTACAGGCTTTTACTAAGCTTGCATCCATATGTTTGCACCATAAAAATCTCGTATTCAGATTCTTACCACTTTTCAGTTTTATGTGCTTTTTTTTTTCTTTTTCTGGTATGGCAAAAGATGGTCTTTCCCAAAACAGATCTGTGAGGAATGTCTCAGAGATGCAGCTTTCCTATCCAAATATTTTGATTTTTACCAGCGTTACATACACGAATTCTTAGCGAGCTGTCAGAGCTGTCCTTTCCTTACTGCATCAAACTTGCAATGCCCTCTGTGGCCTAAATTCCCCCTCCCAGCTGCTCCTTTGTTGCCTCTGGTCTGTTACAGCAGCTTCCTTTGCCTGTTTTAAAATTTGCAGGGTAGCAAAACTTGGGAAAAATAGTATTTTTGTGTATGGAGGAGGCACTTTTTTTTCAGTCACTGGAGAACTCCCTCAGCTCTCATATTTTGTAGACATCACAATGAAAACACATCTGCTGGGCCAACTAGACTGCCTTTTCAATGACTGTCTTAATTCTTTGTATTTAACAGTCTATGTATAACTTATAGCTGTTGTGCTCTATTTACATGGTAAGATCCTTGCTCCTGTGATTTTTAGTGATACTTCTTCCAGTTGGTTTCTGGATGAGATTTTTTTTTTTTCAGTAGTTCTGTAGCTTAAATAGTAAGCTTTTCTCTTATTTCCAGCTCAGAAACTGAGATAAAAACATTTACTCATCAGGGCTGTGTTGTGTCTCATAACTTGCCTGTATATTTCTTTTCACCTTTTTAATTGCTGGGGTAGCTAGCCTGTGTTTATTTAGGTGAGTGTTGAACACCAGGTCAATTCAACAATGTAGGGTCCGAGGATGTAGATAATTTTCCTCATTCCTACAGGATCTGCTTGTGTAGAGCTGATTGCATTACGTAAAAGAAAGGTTTTGTTCTCTTGGAGTCAGGAGTCGTTTCATATTAAGGAGTCATCAGAAAGCCATCACACTTCTAAAGAAATAAACATTGTGTTCTGTACCATAATACGCGTTTCTAGCAACCATGTTAATTAGTCTAAGTGACAATGTTGTCTGGTGTAATTAATTAAAATGCTTTGAGAGTTCAGAATATTATACTGAGGCCTTGAAAATACATTGTGTATGAAACATTGGCTTGAAGCATGAAATATCTTTGTCTGAAGTGAAAGCTAGTTCTTTCCTCTTCAGCTTCTGAAACTTTCTGAGAAAAGTTMTTTTGAATGTATCTAGACTCTGAAGGATGCCCAAGAGTCCCTAAAGCATGCACAAGATGCACAAAAGAAAGTTGTTTGATAGCAAGGAATTTGGCTTTTCTATTTTCTTGCATCTTTTTTGTTGCCAGGGAGCTTGGTACATTTGCACAGTAGTACCTTTATGTAGTACAATCTCTGCTGGGAAAACTGTTAATTTATATTTGTAACACATATTCTCAAGGCTTGCTAGGTTTTTTTAAGTTTTAGTATATTCTCATTTTGAAACAGCTGAAAATTGTATTATAAATGGCATAGAGGAGCTATAGATAGATAAATGACTATGCAAAAATGGCACTGTAGAGTCCATATTTATACTCTCTCATTTCACTCAACTCATTCATTATACAATTTTCTGATCCTTTTCAGAAAGCAGCTGCAATCGTTCTCTTCCTTTTTGTTGTTAATGATGTTTCTTTATTATTTTAACTTAGGATTTTGACAGCACGTGAGGAACAACGCTGTGAGATTTAGCAYGTTATTTTTACCACTGTAGTGCTAATAGGAATGTATGCATTTCTCAAAGTAAACACATTTAAGTCAGACACCGAGGAAACCCATATACTGGGTGAGATACTAGTTCTGCATGATCAGTCTTCCAGTACCAGGTATGCCTGTAGGCTTCAAATGTTAATTATGTAAGAGTACATTTATAGAAGCCTGTCTGAAAAGTCACTTTTCATATGTGATTCATAAGTCTCCTCCCCAGTATAGTCCATTTATTCAGCAGAGAATAACTAAGGCAATTGAAAATGAGAAGCGCCATTCTTAGTCTTTCCTTAATTCACACAGTCTGGGCCTCATTCACAGTTGTTTAATGTTTTATGATTATGACTTTTATAGAACATGGTATAACAGAGGTCTAGGAACCTAGCTAAAAAAAAARAAAAATCCTTAACCTCCTATTTGACTAGTGAAGGATATTTATATTACAGTACAGCTTTAAAAGATAAGTAAAATCCATTTGTGGTCTCAGTTTCCATAACACACTGCTGAATATGTATTGATTATGTTCTTGTTAGTTTGTACTATTCRGATAAGGATTTTATGGTGTGTTTCTCTTGATCTTGATTAGGTACCTAAAGGTACCTAGTGACCTGTATCCTTCTACCCTGTTGGGTACCATGCAGGGGGAAGAAAAGGTCGCCTCCTTAGAGTAAGGCACTGTGCTTTCTGTTTTAAAATAAGCACATTGTTCTTGAAAGGTTAAAGGAATTTTTTGGCCAGATTTGTCAAAATATATTTGTTTAATAATTCCTGTCTTGTATTTGCATATTACACATCCTAAGACATGCCATGCGGTGCCGTTTAGTGTGATTACATCATGACTGAAATGTTGSATAAAGAAAATTCTTTAACCAACCACACAGTTGATAACACTGCACATTAATACAGCACCTTTCATCCTGAAGGTTGTAATAACCTACAAATTGTAGTGCTTAAACTAGCACAACTTAATATGCAATTGTCAGTGTGAACTGCAGGCAGCTCTGGGGTGAAATGTGATAGCTGGTTACCAATGCACAGTAGTTAGACTGAGAAGTTACAGTAGAAAGTGAAGAAAATACTATTGCTCTTTGTTAATTGTCATGGAAGATTCTTGGCTTTGGGATGAAATGATGCGCTATACTGAAAACCTGCTCTTGGGTTATTGTTAAAGTAGAGTTATATGTGCTAAAGCTGAAGTAGAGCTCCATTATTCCTGTCTAAATAGCCTGCTGGACTGACAGACTGTGTCATTAACTGGGCTTCCACCTTCTGCTCTACTGTCTTCCTAAGGCTATAGATGTGAAGGAACATTCTTCAATTTTTGGAATTGAAGGATCTAACTAAAGACTTCCCTTCATTGTTCCTTCATTTAAGGGATTAAAGATGTGCATATCCATTAATCCTGACACATTCTGCATTTCAGGAAAATTCCATTTGTACTTGTGGTCTGTAGACACTGCGGCAGGGAGGGACCTGGATTCCGAGTTTCTGCAGAATGTAACCGTCTCCATAGCTAAGTGCCAGTCTAAAACCTTCTGGGTGTGCTCGGACTTGAAGAACCTTTTTTTGAAAAAAATCTTTTCAGTAGGAAATTCATTCTTACATCTTAAATTTTCAACATCTTTATGGGAGAAAGCTTTGATACGTGACTTATAGCTGTTCCTATATGTAGACATATGTATATACATCTTCTTTGAATGCTTTGTTCTTGCACAAAATGGAATTACAACTTTCTGGGTAGTTTGACTGTAATTTATGGATTGCATGAGAAGGTGCTTCTGAACTACATAAGCTGAGAAAAACTATTCGTGATGCTAGATGGAGCATTCTGATGTCTTTGTGCTTCTGTCTTGTGGTGAAGCGTGTCTACACCCCACAGTTATGGCTATTATTCCTCCTACACTCTCTTCTGGCAATCCATGTCTTTGTTAATGAAGTTACCGAACTTGTATTTCAGAGCTCTTACATTTTGTGTTTCCGCAGGTGAGCGTGTAGGACGTTACAGATTCATTCAGGCTGGTCCAGCCTTCTGCTCAAAGCGGGATCTGCTCTGAGGTCGCACCAGCTTGCTCAGGGCTTCATCCAGTGGGTTCTTGAAACCTTCAAGGATGGAGACTGCAGAGCCTCTCTGCGTGACCTGCACTGCTTCTTAACAGGGGAAAAAGCTTTTCCAGCATGAGATAGAAATCTCTCTCGTTTCTGTTACTGTCTCTTGTCGTCCCCTTGCACACCACTCTGAAGATCCTGACTCCCTCTCCTCAAAGCCTTCCTTGTAAGCCCAGAGGGGTGACTGTTGGATCCCTCCCAAGCAATCTCCTCTGCAAGCTGAACCAGTCCTGGTCTCWCAGCCTCTCAGTGGTCATAGGACAGGTTCCTCAGTCCCTGACCATGTTGGTGTCTTTTTGCTGATCTTGCTCCATTTTATCCATTCTTTCCTGTACTGGGGCAGGGGTGGAGAAGGGCAGGCAAAACTGGCCACAGTAGCTAGCTGTGCTCTAGTGAGTGCTGGGTGGGCAGGTAGAGTCCCTTCCCGTGACCCCTGGCTCTGCTGCTGTTAGCAGGGCCCAGGCAGCTGTTGGTTTTCCCTGCGGACAGGACGCGCTGCTGGCTCATGCTCGGCTCGGTATCTAACTTGCCCCCCAACTCCTCTCGGCTCAGCTGCCCCACAACCAGCCAGCCCCGAGCTGTCCGGTTACGAGGGGGCATGGCTTGGCGTTTGTCTAGTTGAATTTCATAAAGTTTCAGTTAGTCCATTTCTATGGCCAGGCAAAGTCCCTCTGCATGGCAGCCCTGCCCTGGACTGTGTCAGCTGCTTCCCCTATTTTGGCATCTTCTGTAAACTTCAGGAGCAGGCAATTTGTCTGCTCCTCCGTGTCACTGATAAAGGCACTAAGCAGAAGGGTCTCAGGACAGTTCCGTGGTACCTCACATACTGCTAGTATCCAGGGAGAGTAAAATCCGTTAACCCAACTCTGCAGACAGTTCTTTTATGTACTGCTCTCCCCTCATCCACAAATCCAGTCATTTTATCAAAGGAGGCAGTCAGGTTGATCAGGAGTGATCTACTGTTGTTAAATTCATGCTGTCACCGTTGGTAAATCACAGAGTCACAGAATAGTTTAGCTTGGAAGTGATCTCTAGAGATCATCTAGTCCAACCCCCCTCCCCAAGCAGGAACACCTAGATCACGTGGGGCAGGGAAATCCATGCTGTCACCTCCTCCTTCAGGTACCCCAAAACATAATCTGAAAGGACTCACTTCATAATTTGCCCAGCGACCAAAGAGGGGCTGAACAGCCTGTAGCTTTCGGCCTCTCTGAAGATGTGTGATCTCTGTAACATTTGTCCTTCTCAGTTACTGGGGACAACCCAGATCTCTGCAACTAGGAGAGCAGGTTAACAGAGGGCAGCTGCGCGGTGCCGWTAACCACCTCCCTCCCTCCGCAGCCTTGCACGCGGCCCCTGTGGTCCAGAGAGGCAACATGCGGATGTCTGGAGGAGGCAGGGAGTGACAGCTGGACCAAGAAAGGAGAGGCAGCAAGAAGTACTAATGCCTTCACACTTGGCAGGCTTTGCTTGCTCCTCGTGTTTTTAACTTGTACCTTTCTAGCCTCTTTGTTGCCTAGACCACCATGCATCATCTTGCCTGTTGCTACTGCATGTTGTCTAGATGGAAGCTATATTGTGTTCATACTTTCTTCAGAAATGGGGAAAAAGACAAAACATAAACAACTAAAATAAAAAAATGCAGAGAAAGGAACCCCCCCCCCCACGTGCTGATCACCCAAGTGAAGACTGCAGGGAAGGTTTGGGCTAAGAAAAGATTTTCCCCTCTCATACTTGCTGTTGCCAGCTCTTGGCAGCTTGCTTCTCTCACCCCTACGTGTCACCCTTTGAAACATTTTTAAAATCAAACTGTTTCTCATGGGAATTCARGGCCTGTTTTTTAAACCTGACCTTTTTATTACAGATTTATTTGTTTTGATCAATTGTAAAAGGCTGTAAACTTCATGGAATTTGAAAATAGACAGATCTTTACAAAACACATGAGGAAAATGTATACTCTTTTGAAAATATGGAAAAGCTTGCATTTGCATATGTTTTGTGAAAGGCTATACATTCACTTGCATGAAAACTATTTTTCATGACAGAAAATTCTAAAACAAGATTTTGGAGATACCAGTATTTAGAAACTAAACTACTTATTCTGTTTCTCTGTAGATTTAAATCTGTATATTTAAAGTTTTATGTGTTTTAATCCTCCGCGTTAAATTCTTCATAATATATTCATAAAATATTTCAGATAGGCTAACTAGTGCAGTAACATTGCTTAATCCTACTTTTAATTGTCACTATGAATTTGGATAATGAGCTTCTTATTTTTATAAACTAGGAGGGGGTATTTGAGGTAATTTCCTTACTAATGTTTGCCTTAAAAATGCTCAGTTTTYTGACAACAACAGCCAAAAAGTGGAGTTCTGGAGACAAATAAGAGAAGGAAAAGTGAACTTCTGGAATAGAAGGATAAATTAAAAAAGAATTACCAACTGGGATCTATCCATCCAGTTTTGAATCAAGTAGTATTTCAACTTTATTTGCTTATTTTCTCTAAATACATAATTTCAAGCCAATGCTATTGTTTTTGTTTCCAGCATAATGATAGGAATTTACTTTGCCTTGCTGATTAATGTTAATTATAGTCTTCGTATTTTAGTTTTCAAATTGCAGCTCTAATGTACCTGCTTAGTTACTTATTGTAACTAAGGTTACAATCAGGGTGTCTCATTTTTTGCTTTTCTTTAAAATATTTAAATATTTGTTAAAAATATGGACAGCGTATCAAGAAAGTGGTATGATGGTATCAGTTTACTGCCTCAAAAAGTGTCTGGTGTTTTCTGTTGGATAGAGAGACCTCATTTAACATCAGAGGGAGCAATAGAAGGACAGAGTTTAATTTAGTTCTTAATTCTTCATTTTGCATTGAGTGTTGATAAGAGGAAGTGAGCTGAAGTCCTGGCCTTGGCTTGTGCTTTCTGCTTGTTGTTTGACATATTGGTTCTTGGGTATAAGCCTTAGTTGGAGTGTTGGAGTGACTATTGCAAAATTGTGTGGCAGCTTTTCCGAGTGCTGTGAAGGGAAAATACTTCCATATTTTAGCAAATGCAAGAGAGACATTTGGACAGCAAGGATACCATGCATTATTAAACACAGTCTGCCTGCATTCATTTTCCCCCTCTGTCTTTCAGACTCCGGGCAGAGTTGGGTCTCAGAGCTCTGACTCAGATTCATCTGCTGCACCAGGAAATGCTGTGGACGTGAACAACGAAGGCTCCTCCGAGGTACTGTRCACCAGTGTGTGCAGCCATAATACAAAACTTTGGGAGCTATTTCTGCTGCTATGAAACTGTTTGGAATTTCTTTTTATACCTTATCTAAAATTAATTGTATGAAATAAATACTCAAAAGTACTATCTTACAATAATGAGTTATTTAAATATAAAGATAGGTCATATAGCTGCATAACTTTTGATTAGGTSTATTTATTACGCAGCCATAAACAGTCTTTTCTGTAGAGAAAGAATGTAGAGAAGAATTTGAAACAAAACCTTAATGTTCCTCCTTACTAAATCTTATATGAGAGTTTCAGCAAACAAAGCACAATATTTTCCACTTGTAGTCCTTGCTTCTGTTAAGCCATAATGTATGTTGGAAACCACCTTCTCCACCTAAATATGAAATGTGTTGGCTTATTTTTCTTTTGTGCCTGTGTCTAACTTTTTAATCATATCTGTTTTTTATCTGCTCTGTACTTGACCAACAGCATAAGTTGTTTTGCTCTTCTTGCATCAGTTCCAAATTACAATGTGTTTGGATTTACAATGTGTCAAATATTAACTTTGAAAAATTCAGCCTGACTTCACTGGCCGTTTAAGCTATCTGGTGCTAATGTAGCCTCATTACCTAGATTACAAATGTTTCCAGTTTAACATACAAATGCAATGCAATGTTAATTACAGTGTTATTACAGCATTTAAGGGAGCAGAGTGCCCTTTCTTACCCTGAATGAAGTAGCTGATGGTTCAAATACCCATGCATATGTCACACATCATAAGAGGTCTTCTCATTGTGTTATTTAAAGTCATAATTGCCTTACATCTGTACATCTGTGCTAAATTCTCAGCTAGCGAAGCCTTAATGAAGTCAGTATAATCAAACATTCCTTAATTTCTTGCTGCATGTCACCCATGTCATGTGCTTGTAAGTCAAAAACTGTTTTGTCTGCGTATTTACACTGTCCTTGCAGTGTAAATTAAAGAACAAATATTCTTAAATTGCAGAGTAAAATCTCATTAYTTCTGTAGTTAATTAGTGCATAAGAATATGCAATGAGAGATAATTGCTTCCTTCTAAAGTTTGCCTAAAAGTACAYGATCCTGTTAATGTGGCAATAATATCACTGCTGGTACAGCAATACTCATGTATTTATTTCTTGACATAAAAAGAACTTGTAAAACATGGATGTGCCTGCCTGTACTGTTGTACTATTTTTTTCTTACTGTTGAGTTGGAACTCAGACCAAAGGCTAGTGTGTCACCTTTGGTAGTAACATGCTAAAAAAAATCTTTTAGTCGTCAATAATTCCACTAGCTGTCTCACTGGTTGCAAGAAAGGTGCTTCCTTTAAAATATAACTTTCAAAATCTGTTTGAAATTAGTTCTGAAGCTGGTGGTGATTTCTTACTCTCTGAAGGTTCATCCATTGCAGCCTGTAGCTCGAGCCTTTCTGCTGGTCTTCCTTTTCCTCTGCAGCTGGCCGGAGATTTCTCTTTCCGAGAACTGTCTCTCCCAAAGCACATTATCCAGCCTCTTGGAGGCTTTACTTTCCTGTTATATGGTTATGGTCCCACCTGCTTCTCCAGTGTTACATAAAATGAGAAATCCAACTRACTTKYTTTCATTCCAGCCCTATTTGTGACTTGATTTTCCGATTTGTATTGCTGTTTCATGGTTCAAATGGAGAAGAGTTAATAGATCTCTGCAGATTCTCTTATCTTCTACCTCCTTCAGACCTGTTTGAAATCAGTCGTGATATTTGGGAATTGTAGTATAAAATAAAAGGAGAGGGAAGGGTGATTTGGTTAAAACTTCAAGTTGTTCCTTGTTCAAGGGGAGAGAGAAGTACTATTATTTAAGTCCCTTTTGTGGCAATGTCAGCATTGCATATCACATCCAGACCTGAACCTATAATCAAATCTGGATGCCTGTTTTATTCACTGCATAATCTGACTAAGAATAAAAAGTCTATTTTACCTTTGCAGACCCAGTGCAACTCCAGGTGCAGCAGTGAGGTGCTGAATGATGCATTTGTGCAGTGAATCCACTAACATTTGTTCTGTTAGTGCAGTGGAGCTGCTTTGGGTTGGCAAGTGTGTAGTCTGCTCTGTCTGCCCCTGTATGCAGAGAGTCTGCAGGCAGAGACTCCCAGAGCACCCTAAGCTCTGCCCTGCTTTTTCTATGTGTTTAGGCATGTAGGATGTGTCTTGAAGCTGCAGGTCTTCAGGAACTGGTTGAACTTTTTTCTTTGGTAAATCTCAGGTGAACATCCTGAGGGTTTATTTATTTACTTTGTTTTTAAAATTCGGCAAAGCAAGCTTCACGTTTTGCCTTAAATGAGAATGCCAGGCATGCAGTTGCAGGGATTGCTGAGCCATGCCTGTTCCCATAAATTTGCTTTCTTCTGAAAATTAAAATAGCTTTATTCTCCTGTGACAGCTGCCTTACACATCTGTGTATTAATTTAGGGAGATATTTCTGCAATCTCACCAWCCCATCTCTGTCTCTGTCTTTGAAATGTCTCAAAACCTTTATGAGGAGCTGCAGGATGGGCCTGATGTGATGCCTTATGATGGTCCATGCATGGTTTGTTGTGTAGCATGTTCATTTGTCATATGGAAGGGCTGTGGAAAACAAGTAGTAGTATGCAGCATAGATTTATTTGTTTTGAAAAAAAAAGTCTTTGCAAAGATCTGGAAGTAGCTGCAAACGCTTTCAGTGATTGTAGGGAAGCTTCAGCATAAAAATTTGAACATCATATGTTTCCAAGCCTGTTTTTTTTTTGTCTTTGTTAGTTTCCTAAAAACAAATATACATTTCACAGGGCTTCATCTGTCCACTATGTATGAAAGTGTGTGTAACTCCTACTGATCTGTGTGAACATTACCAGAATGAGCACTCTGGGACAGAAAGGAGAAGACAGGAGCTTCGTGACCTTCCAACTGTCACTGTGGGTCTTGTTTATATTGTTTCAATAGCTTTGGTAATGGGCTGCTTTAAGTGGATATCGATCTTTTCTTATGGCTTGGGCGTCACTTTTCTCATTTTTTTCTTGTGATTTCTCACTGAAACATAATTAATCTCTTAATGCATGAGTAGAAATTTTACATTTGGCCAAAGGACTCCTCCATGGCCGGCTTTCTGGTTTGCGGTTCTCACCTGAAATACGCTCAGTGCTGGCTGACTTGTTCACACTGATACAATCTTTTTGGACAGCTTTTGCTAGATTTTCTTATAAATTAGACAGTCATACTATTTAATAGACTCTACTTTAAYAGACTCAAGGTCAGTGTCATGATAAGCACGGTATCAGCTCTGGTACAACCTATGTGAAATTAAGTATTTCCAGCTTTTATTTGCTATTTACCTTTAAAGCAAATTTACAAGTGGAGGTAGATACACTCGGTGAAAGGTGAGAACCAAAGATGGGATACTCGAATGTAATTTATAAACTTCTTGTTTTGAACGTTTTTGAAAGAGACTTCAGTACTATAGCAAAAGTATAAACTAGTGTTCTTTAACCACAGCCCAGAATTTTATTGGAATTGCTTTATGTACCTTAACAAAATGCAAATGGTGTTTTGGGAAGGTATTGTAAGAAATAGAGTGTTTCTAACTTCTTCCAAAGGTGCAGTGTAAAAGGGGAAAGTAAGAGCCTTCAGCTGGACGGGGCGGTCTGATTTGTTCCTCTGTGAATCTCAGAGAGCAGATTCTTGACTGTTGGGGGTAGGCAGCTTCCTACTAGCTGGGCTTCATGGAAATGAGGTAGTTTTTGTTTCTTTTCTGATGATGTTTCCTTTGTTGAGTTTTGGAATCAAATGTTTATTCTTAGCGGTATGAACTATATAATTTTATTGTATATATTGCTCTATGTATTGGCTAAGTAGTGATTTCTCTCCTACTTGGAAGTTGAAGTGCAGTTGTGCTTTATAGTTATTTTCAGAAGGAAAACTTAAAAGTGCGTGGGCCATCGATCCAAAGATGAGGAAGGTTGTCAGGAGAGCAGTGATCACCCTTAGGCTACTTGAGATCTTTTCTCAGGGATGAAGTGTGAGCTGTGAAAAGGAGCAGTCAATATTTCTGTAAGATCTGAGTAAAACCAGCAGTTTTTGTTCTGCTGCTGCACCAGGGAACTGCCTTATAATCAATAGGACTGGTTATTGCCTTTCTTAAGTAAACTGTGACTTTACCAGTGACAGATTTCTGTCATGTGAAAGTATTGTGCATACTGTGATGTGAGATGGTTTGGTTACCTGAAGAAATTATTCTTTTTTAAATTGGTAATACTTAGTAATCCCATGGAGTTGACTGAGGGTTCTTGCCTGCTCTGTGGTTTTGTTGTTGTTTTTCCACCAGCAGTTACTCCTGTCAGTGATTTATGACTTTTTAACTTGATCAAACTTGTGCATTGAATATGGCACGTGAAGTTCAAGTTGTTCACGTGTAGCTCAAGCCCTGTTGTTAGTTGTGGGTTTCGGTACAGTGATTCAGAAAAGAACTGGAAGAGATAAGAAGCAAAGAAAGCTAATATATGATTTTTTTTTCAGTTTAATCTTATATCAGCATACATAGAAGGACCGAAGCAGTGGGACATCTATTAATAATTGCTATCAGTACCAATATGGAAAATTTAAAAAACTTTGATCACTAAGAAATTGGTTTGCACTTGTTAATGGAAAAGGAGAATTGTATTTGTATTTTTTGTATTTGTATTTGTAACAAGCACATCTTGATTTTGAAGGAGCAACACAGTGAGGTTGTCACTTTCCCTTCCATCTTGGCAATTTATGAGACAACTTTGTGAGAAAAAAATGATGTGTTTGGGGTTGTTTTCTCTAGCAGACATATGCAGCATTGCTGAGTTTGTCTTTCTGAAACTTGTTACTACTGTGAAAGTTCAAATACGTTTTGTCGAAAGAAGGTGATGGAGATGCTACTGGACTCAATTTTCTTCCAGTGCGTTGTCCTCAGCAATAGAGGTAGGACCCAGATATTAAGTGTTGTGGAGTCAATGTTGGGTTCGAATTTACGTTACATGTGACCTGAAAAATTGTTAGGTCTGTGGACCYAAGCATTAGTACCACCCTTTTAAGTTTGCCTATTGGTTTCTTCATTGAACCACTTTCTGATGGTAAAACCTTGTCTGCTGATCAGAATTTGATTTGCTGCTATGTGCTCTTGTTGCTCTGTTCTTCATTCATTGCTCTGGGCAATGAGAGCCAGTGTTCGGAAATTACTGCGTTTTACTGCTGGAACATCCGACTGTGTCTGATGGACTGCTGGAACGTATCCTCACAATTCACCTTCAGCTTTATTTAGGATACTTCACTTAAAGACATCTTTGTAGAGTCTTCATGCTTCAAACCAGGGATTTTAGCATGTAACTGGTTCAAGTGACATTAAAATACCTTCTTTTTCCCCTGGAAGCACAGATTAAGTCTTACCTCAAAAGACAGAAAAAAAAGAAAAGAAAAGCCTGTCCTACTGCCAGAAGCAACACCATGAGGTTGGTGCCAAGTTCTTCGCGTAGCTGACTCAGCCAGCAAATATTGTACGGAGGCCCTGTGCAGCACCTCATTCCCAAACAGGGATTTTGTTCCTCCTTCTTTCATAGATACCATATTGTAACTAACAAAGGCAATTGCAGATTGATTTTTTTTGCAGGTGCACAGACCATCATCTCCTCCCTTTAAGGCTAGGATTGAGTTCTTGCATCTTGGGATGCTCCTTCAGTTCCTTCTCATACTATCAAATTAGGTCACAGTAGCTGGTTTCACCTCAGTGATACTTTCCTGTTTGGCTTAGGAACAGAAGTTGTTGGTTGAACTGTCTTGCCACATGAATTCTCCATTCTCTTATTGCTTGCTTAAATGTTATAGCAAATTAGAGATACTGATCTGAATTGACTTGGCCATGCAATGCGACTGACTTTTTTTTCTTTAAAGAAGATCCACTAAATTAGAGTTTCTAATTTGTCACAAAAGTGTCTTGTAGGTTGTGATAGACTCATCAATAGTAATAAAAAGAGAAAGAACTGGGCTAGAAATTATTTTGGTTCTATTCTTGTCTAGTAAAGCCAGCTTCCTTTCTTGAAAGATATTGAGCCTGCAGTCTATTATAAACGAACTGTAGGCAGACATGTTTTTTCTTTCTGATTTGAAGGTTAAATATTTGCATGTAAAATTGAAACAGACTCCAGAGTTTAATTATTAGAGAAGAGGTGAAAAGGTCATCTTTCATATGATTAGATAGAGATGTTATCCAATGAAGACACTATCATATTATTGAGTGTGTAAAGCTCAAGGAAAGTGCCTTTTCTGGGAGAAGGCATGGAACAAAATGTATTTTCCTGATAACAATATAAAAGGAATGATTTTCTTTATGTATTCTTTAACTTAAGAATGTTGGTATGTAAGACTTCTGAAATAAATTCTGAACATGGTCTTGTCCTTGATGCCTGAGAACTTCTTGAGTTGATTGTTTTGATAGGTKATCAGGAAATACCGGGTAGAAACTGCTTGAAACTTTCAGCTCTGAAACATGAATACATTTTTTGTTCTGCGGCCCTGAGTATATGCTGTTCTTAACCTGTCCTGTAAAATGTTTCAGCTTCTAAATCACAGTGTAACTGGAGAATATCTAACCTTCACTTTAGAGTTACTGTTTAAATGGTGATGAAAACCCATACCTTATTGATAGAAGGATGGTGAATATTTGGCTGTAGGGCAAAACCATGAATAGTGAATTGAGAGACTTTCCAAGAATTTGTCATGCTTTAAAATGAAAACCAGCTCCAGAAAGGTGTATGCCTCTGCATGGATGGATGTGCCCCCTACAGCTCTTGAACTTGCTTTCAGTTTTTGAACATGTTGAGCTATAGCAGCAAGACAAGCTGTATGTTTTTAATAAGGTTTGTGAAGTAATTGTTAATGTAAGTTTGAATTCTGAAGGACTGACAGGAATGCAGCTTGGTTAGAGGATGTTGTGGATCTGGATCTGGATCACTGCTGTTGCACGGTGTGCATGCTGCTTAGAGCCTTGAGTGCCAGCCCGGCACTTCTGAAYGGTCAACAGGAAGCACAGAAACTAAAATTTGTAAACTAGACCCTGGGCCCGAGCTCTCCATGTAGAATATTGTTTTATCATTTCCATATAGTAGAAGTGTCAGTTACATTGCAGTTCTGCTCTTTCTTTCGCTGCAGTACGTGAATGTTTTCCAAGAAGTGTGTTTGTGGAACAAAATTGACTTCTCAGTGGAAAATTGCAAAGTTCTCTAGTTGTTTAAGTCTGACTCATGACATAATAGCTGAGATAAAAATTTAAGATGGTGCAGAAATTCTGTCTGTAATAGTGAAGAGTGCTATATGCTCTAATTGTGTTTTATATATAAATAAGTATTTATATGTTATATTTAATACTTAGTTTTTKATATTTATATTATATATCTTATATGAGATAATATATAAAAATCTGTTACCTAAAAGGRGCCATTTTCTTGAGATGCATTTTAAGAGAGAGCTCAGGGGAGCGTAACTTTACCAGGGCTGAAGGTAAATCTTACCTAGCAGAGGAGGAAAGCCGCTACACAGGCATGTCTGTACAGGCCTAGTCATGAGACAAGGCCAATGAAAGAATCCTATYGTGCTTCCATGTAGGTAGCTGAGATAGTTGGTGAAATTTGGCACTAGGAGCTGACACGGGGCAGGACAAAGAGGCCTCCAAAGCCCCTAGCTAGTGATTGCTGTTGTGCTCTCAGTAAAGCTGATGTGCTGGAAGTCTTTGTAGCAAGAGAGGCTCGTGTGGTGCTGTGGGGATGCCTGTGGCCAGGCCTGCGGCATCCGGGCACTTCCCGCTGGATCAAGAACTCGGGAATCAACATGTGATGGAAGTACTCTCTACATGAAGAAAACAAACAAAACAGAAATCATCTAATGGTCCTTAACTTTTGGGGGGCACTTTTCTCTCCCCTGCATAAAGCAAGAGAGAAAGCTCCAGGGAAGCGTCAGTCAGGGAGGTAGGAACTGTGCCTGTGTGTGCAGCGCTGCAGRTGCTGAACGTGCTCTCTTTGCCTTAATAACTGAGGAATATTAAATCCCTTTCAGTTCTCCCTGSCTATGCTTCATGCAGCGCAGCTCCTAAATGTGTTTTTAAATGAGCTTTACCCAGTTGGGTAATTTTGGTTAATACAGCCTTTGGGAAAAGGGAATGGTGCATGCCGTGTATGGTGACCTCCTTCTTCAGATACAAGAACTTTGGTCCTTGCCCTTCCTGTGAAGGTCTGTGCAGTTAAGGAAGATGAGCGTAGACCTGCTGGAATGGAGACCTCCCTCCATCTCTCACGGCAGCTGGGGGAGCTCGTGTGACAGCCCCTTAGTGGCTGTGACTGTGTCRTCTGCCCTTTGTATCAGGACCACGTCTGCCCGGTGTGTGAGCATTTTGCACTTGATCCACATTCTGCAAATAGATAAAAATGTGTTTCAGATGCATTTCAGTTTCTTCTCTTCTGCTCCTCCCCACATGTTCAGCTACAGATGACTAAAGTATACTTTTATATGCATTTTCAAAACGCATCTCAGGGTGATGCTAGGAAAGAGTGGGGTTTTTATGGCTGTATTTGGCTGGCACTCTCCTTACTGCAGCCCAGCAAGGGGAAGGTGGTTCCTGTTATTAGGAAGGAAACTCTGTGCGTGCTTCCCCTGGCCTCCTGGCAGCAGTGGGTTTCACTCTGGGTCCCGTCCACTTGCTGGGATCCAGGGCATCCCACTGGCTCTGCAGCTTTCTTGTCGGTGGTGGAACCGCGTTCAGTTTTGACAGATTTTGGAAAAAAATCTCCGTCCGCCTTTGGTAGTAATTGAGATGAGAGATTGATTGCTGTCGCCTTGGGCTAATTGCAGACATTGTCTTGCCTTTCCTCTTCTCCAGGACCTTCTTTCCACACAATAAAACCCAACCGAGCAGCCCAAAGCAACTGAGCAGATGTTGCTGCTTAAAAGGAAAGGAATAAACSGTGCAAGGAAGGACAGGACAGAGCAGTTTTCTGCTCTCACTGGTGCCGTGCAGGGATGTGCTCATCTCGCTGCAGAGCAGCTCCTGCTGTCGGCAGGAAGCCCAKGGAAGCAGTGGGAATTGCGTGCGTGTCTTTTCATCCCTAAGGGGTGGCTGCAGTTAGTGCGTGAGWGCTTCTGCTCCCAATTCATCTACAAAGCAAATTCCTTGCCTTTGGACCTGTCCTATCATTTATTGTCGTTGCTCTTTGCCAGGAATTTTCTAGATACTCCCTCTGCTGCTTTTGCTCAGGGTAACCTTCATTGCTGCCCCGTGCTAATTATATGGGGTAGATGTTACTGGGAGCACAGTAGGGAACCAACTTTCCTGTATCCCTCACGGCACGGGCGCTTAGGAATGAGTGACTGGGTTTAATGTTAAGTGGAACCATGTGGATGAATTCGGTAGATAAATGAATTGTAGTTACAGGTAAATGACTATGCTCTGCTTTGGAAGGAAGATGCTGTTTTGTTTGATCCAGTTTTGCTGAAATTGGTCTTCAGTATGATGATGTAGTGGATTTGACAAGCAACTATACTTAATTTCTTAAATTTTCTGAAAAAAAAAGCAAATAGAAATAAAAAAAATAAAAGTAATAAGGATCTTGTTCAGTGCTCTGGAGATTCAGTTGTGTTTGAATAGCCTAACTTGATAGTTCTCTTGGAATAAATCCATATTAGTATTTGGTTATTTAGTTTATAATGACTTGTCAAATAAAATTCTATCAACGTCAAGTTAGAAAGTGAGTGCTACTGTGAGTGACAACATATACCTTCAGTATGCTCACTTTGTAATTCTGTTTAAAGTTCCAGGGCTTATCTAGGAGTGTCCAAATACACAGATAAGAACATAAACTGAGTGTCAAAACTCTGTGTCTGTCTGTTGGGTATCTTGCTGGAGTGTATGTTATGTGAGATGCGAGCGTTCTGATTTTGGATAGCCAGAGTCTGTGTTTTAGGGTTTGAATATGATCCAATTAACACAATTCACATGATACAATTAGAGTTGGAGTGCGATACAAATCATTACGGAAGGGGAATGTTTAAAAATGTAAATGCATAATTCAAGTAAATTAAACAAAATAGGACCTTAATTTCACTCGCATGAGGGTCTCTTTATTCAGTTAGGAATTATAAGGCACTTTTAAATCGTTTACTTCCACTCTGAAATTTTGTTTCGCTTGAGTGATGCATATTGGCTACAGCGTAAAGGAGAATTTGGCTCGGGCTGGTCATGATAACCAAATTAAACCTCATCAATTAAAAGCAGATTGAATAGATTGTTCAATAAAGTGATATATATAACAGTTCTGGTGAATGCCAGTTTGGCCACACRTGTTTAAAGGTATGTTAAAGTGACTATTTTCTCTTGACTTTGGGGGTAGAATATTGCCCTGTTAAGTTTTTGCTATTGTTAAGCTTGCAATAAATATTCTGGAATGTGAGCGGATGTTTTCTGATTCTATAGACTGCAGRGGGGTGATTTCAGTTCTTTGCTTCTGAACTGCGTGTATGAATTATATGCAAGATGAACACTGTTTTCCACTCTCCCTTGGTTCATATTAAAATCTGGATATGGTCGTATAGGTACATAAAAAGCTGTGCTTTAGAGGGTTTTATTTTATGTCCTTTACATTTATTTTTGTATTGCCTTTTCTGAAAACAAGCCCCCAAATCCTCTCCTCTTTGGAAGAACCACCAGATTTTATGACAAGTTGTATGGAAGTACTTTTCTTAAAAAATATATATTTTCTTCCTTTTAATTATAAAACAAAATTGTAAATGGTGGAGGAAAAATAATTCAAAAAGACAAATCTTGGTTCTCACTTATTTTTTTTCTTTTTATAATAGGGCTTTATTTGTCCTCTGTGTATGAAGTCTCATGGATCAGCTGAGGAGCTGTTCAAGCACTATGAAGCAGTTCATGATTCTGGCATTGATTCAACTCACGGAGGGGAAAGTCATCTGTCACCGAGCAGGTGGAACAGTATTCCTTTGTGCATGTGCTTTTGTGTCAGTATTGAGCTGCTTCTAATTACAATGCAGGCTGTATTAATTTGAGCACTTAATTATGCAGTAAAGTATTTACGTGTTCATGCCCCATTTCTAAATACAGCTAAAAAGCAGCTTGAAACTTATATTGGCTGATATTGATAAATAATAGATTAGCATCTATTATTTAACAGGTATGTTTATATTTTTAATTATATCACCTGTTTCTCATGCAGCTGACAATGCTGGGTTGCGAAATGGTAACATTTTTAGGATCAAGGCGGAAGATCAGTTTCTGCATTCTTTTCAGTGTAGAAGTGAAACTGCATTTTTTGAGGATTTTTGCATTTTTTGAGGATGGTGAAGGACAACCTTCGAGAATGAGAAGCAACTTGATTTTGTCGTTTGGTGGTTATGGTACTGGGTGATTATATCATCACCTTTTGCTTTGCTAGGTTCCCATTTTATCTAATTGTAAATCTGAGAACTTTGTGTCACTAATGCTCCATCTAACACTTCCACATTCCAGAAACTTCATGCTGATCTGTAGAAATCTMCTCTAGTTTATTTTATTTAACTCTTTGGTCAAACCTGTAAGTGTGTGTGGTTAAATATATTCCTAGGCAACTTATCAGATGTTTTAATTTCTGAGGGTAGCAGTATATAGCAGGAACTGATAAGGTGAAACATACTTTCTTACTTTTTTTTCCCCCCTCGCCTTTTTTTTTTGTAACAAAAGAATGTGTAAGGTAACTTTTTTCAGGTATTATCTGAATGAAGCTATCATCTCCCCAGTATTCTGCAGAACCACTGTTRGTAGAGGTCTTGTCTTCATGCATGGGTGTAGAGGCCCTTCTTCAAGGGTGTTTCCACTCTCTTCCAACCATGGTGGGTTTCTGGCTGCATTCCCTGAACACACATTTTGTGTTGACAGTGTCGAAGCTGCTGAGAGGAGGCTCTGAGGCCAATAAGCACTTTTCTTAATGGTGCAATGGAGAGGGGGACTGCAAGTAACTCACCATGTTGAAGAAACAGTTACACAGATAAAACAAAATGCCAGTCTTAAAAGACATTTTCAATGCACATTGCATTGAAATGGCAACATTTTAAACTGAACTTAGAGTAGTTGCAGAATTTGCAACTGATAGCATTGATTTTTTTGTCAGTGGTCTGTCATTAAGGTGTCTGGAACAAAACAATTGTGCTTCCCAACTCTAATCTCATTTTAACATGTGTGTCTGCTTTGACAAAACTCTGTGGTATTGTATAGTATCTTTTATCTGTCAGACTTGCTCGGCTCTCAAGTAGCAGTAATGCTGCAGACATAATTCTTAGATAACAGCCATGAGATGTAAGTATGATTCCAAAAGGAGCCAAATTATTTTCTGCTTGTGTTTAAGGGGAGTTCTGTAGGGCAAGTGCTGCCTCTAGAGGAGTCGTCGTGCCAGTGGGGTTTGGTTGGCAGGCACAGCAGGCAAGCAGGAGGGAGTGTGCCCAGAGGATGGACTAAACCCGCAGCCTCTGCGTCCTCAATTTTCTTAGCTGTGCAGGGAAAGAAAAGTAGTAAGCAAAGTAAATTGATTCTAGTTTTTAAAATGAGCATCCTGTGACCTGTCTGTTCAAGGGCGGTGGCTTTTTTTGAGATGGTGCTATTTTTACAATCATTTTTATCACTTTTTTTCACCAAATGTATGAAAAACCAAAAAAATTTCACCAAATGTATGAAAAACCAAAAAAAAAAACCAAATTATCTTCCATGAATATGGAAGATAATTTGAAAGAGTCGATTAGTCTGAGGAGAATAAGAGACTGCAAAATTAGGGCTCTATCCATGAGGAAATGATAGGGTACCATTAGAGTTGCACTGGGTTTCCTGTGAGCCCACTTACTTAAGAATGTCTGCTTTAAACCCTTTCCAAGTGTTACAACTTGACCAGAAATGGTCATTCTAGCAGAATAATAGCATTCACATGGGGGAACAGTTGGTCATAACGATATTGTTTATATAGTTTATGAAAGATTTATTTTTATGCCTACACATTTCCAATGCCAACCAGATGCTGGCTGGTGAAACTTTTCTCTTGACTCAAACACAACAGTCTAAGGATAAGTGCTTTTGTTTTCTCTTGTATAATTGAAAAAGTATTCAAGGTCAGGGAGTTTGGATGGTGTGAAGGGAGGCGGGTGAGAGCTGTTGTGTAACACTTGAGCTATTTCTTCTGCCTAGCGCGGTGTTCTTTAATGTTTTGCAGTTGTATGTTTGCTTGAGAAACYTCTCTTTCAACATAAACATTTATTTTTCAAGACTTAGACTACCACATTAAAGCAATATTCTGATCTGCAGCGGGGAACTGAACAGGTTGGCTGCCTACAAGTGAGCCCACAAGTGATTCGTGGGACCAAGTTAGGAGGTGAACTTCTTTATTTAGTCGGTAGAAAGATGCAGGTGCTATCACTCCCAGTAATTAAATAGTATTATTATTTCTGAGTAAGTCAGAGGTGTTTTCCAACCAATTATAGTGCCATAGTTCAGGACCAGTTTTTATTTTACAGATTTTATTTCTTTCATTCTTTATCAATATCACAATTTCAGAGCCCTGGMACAGGCTGCCCAGGGAGGCTGTGGAGTCTCCTTCTCTGGGGATTTTCCACACCCACCTGGATGCCRCCTGTGCCCCGTGCTCTGGGTGTCCCTGCTGGAGCAGGGGGGTTGGACTAGATGATCTCTAAAGGCCCCTTCCAACCTCGACTGTGCTGTGACTCTGTGTAACTACATGGTGTCCTCTTCCCTTCCATGCCGTGAATTACCACAGTTAGGTACCAACAGTAAATCCTGTAACTGATCTTGCTAGACTGTTAGTGCTCAGGTGGTCAGGTAGTGGCATTAAAGATGTGGGGGAATGGTGTTGAGCAGAAGGAAAAGGTAGTAGGGATTTGTCAGGTGGCAAAGGAGGATATGCYGAGAGGAGTGTCAGAGAGGAGGAAGGGACTGGAGTGTGCTCAAAGGGGAAAGGGCGATTTAGTGAGGATTTGGATGGCAGTAAGAAAAATAAAATGACAGTCTGCGAGTGAACCCTTATACTATTTTTTTCTTCTTCTTTCCTGCTTATTTTTCACTGGACAATTAATCCACATTTAGGTTTCATATGATTGCTCTAAAGCAAAACGGCCTTGGGATTATSAAGGCAAATCCTGTTGAGGGTGTTTGCATTCCTAGCTCCCTTCCTCACCCTTTTCTGCCCTACCTCTTCTGTACTACAAACTGTTGTCATACAGTACAGAAACTTTTTTACAAAGACCGGTGTGTCTTCAATAGTTCAGTGCTACACAAACTTYTAGTCATTATAAATACCAAGGTGTCTTCAATAATTCAATTTTATGTATCTAGTATGTGTTCTGGCCCAGCTTCAATGTAGTCAACTGTGTTTCACCTGCCTGAGATTTTACCTKTAATGTGTGAATTTTAGCTAGATTACCTATACGTGTGAGAAGGCTGCTTCCTCTGCCTCCTCCATGTGTGTTCTGGATTGCAGCTATGAGTAAGCTGTGAGCTCAGCACAATGATGAGTGCAGACAGAGTTCTYGCTGGCATCACTTTGTTGGTTCATGTGTCAGTAGTTTCCCCAGCTTCCTGATGCCCCAAACATGACAGTAATACTCAGGTGTAGATTGAATCTGTTCCTTTCCAGCTTAAGTAAGGAAACCTCCCCCACCCTGCTCTCCGTCTAGTAGCATGAGGTAAAAGAAGGAGCGTCTTTGGAGGAAGGAGTCCCACAGCGCTGCTGCAACAGCTCTGCATGGTGTAAAACGGAGGGAGTGTGTTGATATTCACAGCCACACGTGTCTGTTGGAGCAGGCCCCGCAGCGCTGCTGCTGCTGCGCAGACAGTGAGGACGGGTGTGTTGACACTGCAGTAATGACCCCTGCGTCCTGTGCTTGGAGTGGCTGAGCCTCAGTGGGGCTACATGAGCCTCGTGTGCGGAGTTGTGTAACTCTGTACAGAGACCTGAGATTTAGAAGGGTGCTGTCTGAGCTGATCAGCAGCAGTTTTAGCCCTGGATCTTGTGTTCRTGCGTGGCAGGAGGCTTCAGCGTGAAATCTGAGAATTTTAAAGTGCCAAGGCTTTAAACATTCATGGCATTAAGTGAGTGAATCTGTGGGGCATACTGGGGAATTGCTGTGAGGAGGTAAACTTACATAATGGCATGGTTTGGAAGGAGCGGAGCAGCACGCTCTCTTTTGCTTGAGATGAAAAGTGAAGGAGAATAGACCTGCCCTCTTTGTAAGGTGTATACAAGTTATACAGCCCAGTGCAAAGCTTTGCTGTTCTGAAATCATGTGGTCAAGCTGATGCATTAACACTTTCATATATAAAAAAAGAATTCTGCGATTCTTCTTTCTTTAAAAGACCATATCTATGTCCTGCGCATATATATATATATGTATATATAAAAGATGCTTTGTATGTTTTAACAGTTTTCAGGTGATGATATGATTGTGAGCTAATGAGTATCTATTAATTTTCTTTGTTCCAAATTTTCAAAAAATGTAACTTATATATAACTGTGTATATTATATTTGCATAATATGTGATTATAACTATCTTCCAGTTACTTAACATGTGTTGTAACTTACACTGAAAGTATAAATGACAAAACATAACCACTTCATATTCATTTTCTCCACTTCATGGATATATTTATTCAGAGATGAAGTATCACTGCTCCGACAAGAAGTCCAGGACCTGCAAGCCTCACTGAAGGTTGGAAATGTTTTTCACTTGCATGTGCTTCTTCGTTTCAAATTGCCAAGTATTCTGCTATCTTAAGCAACCGAAATTAGAGTTTACTCTTCCCAATCTCGTTTTTTCTGTTCCAGGAGGAGAGATGGTACTCAGAAGAGCTGAAGAAAGAACTAGAAAAATTGCAGGGGCAGCAGCAGCAAGTAATTGCTTTAAAATACTTGAAGCAGGTTTATCATCAACATTGACATTGAAGATTAATACCTTTTTTTGTAAGGCACGTGGCCTGATTTAGTTAGTTCCATAACTTGACTCTTGACATGTTCCTGAAAACAAAATATATATATGAAGTGTATATCTAAAAGACAAGGTGATAGATAGTGATTCTTCCATGCTAGCTGCAGGTTCGTTTCAGACCTTCTGTTTTGGGCTTATTCAGAACTCAGTTTATTAAAGAACATAAATTGAATGTGGTTCATCTCTGATGACAAACATAGCAATGGGGTTTTTCTTGTAGGAAACTGTGGGGAGTAATGCTATTTCGTTAAATCCCATATGAACTTAACAAAAACCTATTTTTACTATAAGCTACATAAATAGTGAATTGTTATAAACCTCAGCAATTGCTTTCTCATACTGTGTATTTTCAGAATGTTCACTGCTGCCGTTCTGCTTAATGTCAGTAACTTGTGTTTTTAGGGCCAGATTTCAGTATTAAAAGGGCAGGGGGCATTTTTATTGGAATGTTAAAAGGAATATGATAGCATTCAGGAAGCCAAAATCGTTGTGACTTTTCTACTCTCTCTGCTATGACTGTTTAAATCAGTTATTTTTATATTGCTTTGTACCTTTTGAGTACAGAAACCTCTCTTTCTGTGTCTTTCCAAAAGCCTGGTCTTCTTTTATGTGAGCTGTTAAAGTACTAATAGTTATTCGTACTGTCTAATGATACATTTATTCTTCTGTTTTTAAAGGATTCTAAGTCTGATGGATTGACAACAGCTACATCTGCAGGTGGCTAATGTTTTATTATATTAATTTCTGTCACTGTTTTGGAATTTCTGAAATTTGTTTCAGTGTAGCCTTTGGGTTGATGAAAAGGCACTTTTGGTGAATTCAAGTGCTAGAATGCTGACAAATGTTTACTGCAGGTACCTAAGGTAGCTCCTGGCAGCTATGGTGTGGGGAATTGTTAGGAGATATTTGTTATATGTAATTTCTAGGAGTGAGAGAGGAATTGTCATAACTATAAAAGCACCTCTCAGTCATAGTATTGAACATCTTTTTTAGTCATTTCATGTATTCAGGCATTTGGGATGAGTCTATTGCTGAGAAAGACAGTGTCTGTTGATGTTTAAACTGCAGTTTTAGTCAACACTGATTTTGTTCATTGCTTTTCTATTCTGATTGCTAGAAAAGAAAACAATGAAATGTTGTTTGTTTCTCAGACCAATATTTTTTGCTCTGTGTTTTGTCTTCATGAGGCACCCATGGAATATAATTTCCTTATATATGCATGAATGTGTGACTTATGTGTGACTGGTCATCACGAAGTGATTTCTAATCACAGTTTTGGGCTTAGAATTGAGCATATTAAAGTGATATGAAGGGATATTTGCTGACAAGTGGAAACCACTATGTCCATAATCCTTCAAAGGACATGACTTGTGACAGATTCCAATATCGTGAAYGTGAATATTTATCTTCTATTATTTATTTTCCTAAAGCTAGTCGGATGTTAGGGAACTTGGATTAATTACTCTTTTATATACTGTGTTTTATTATTGATGTGAGTAACTATATAACCTTGTCCTAGGCAACTTAGAAAATAATACTGTTCTTTTTTGTGGAACTAGAATCATTAGAACATCAACTAGAAGAGATCCAAGTAGAAAATTTTAATATTAAGCAAATGAAAGACTTATTTGAGCAGAAAGCAGCACAGCTGGCCACTGAAATTGTGGGTAAGTACATTAAATGTGCACTCTAATTCTGTTCCCTATTTATGCAACTCTTGCAAGTGATCTTTTTTTGTTCAACTTCTTTCTTAATTAGAACTTAAAGCAAAATACGATGAAGAAACCAGTCTTCGGGAAGGTGCAGAACAGAAAGTGACAAACCTGACACAAGAACTGCAGAAAGAGAGAAATACCGTAGAAGACTTAAAGACAGAACTGGTATTCACACCACAGTCTTAATGTTTTTATGTCACTTGTGCATCACAAAATGGAAGGGACCTCTAGAGATCATCTAGTCCAAMCCCCGTGCTCCAGCAGGGACACCCAGAGCATGGGGCACAGGGAGGCATCCAGGCGAGTTTGGAAGAGCTCCAGAGACAACCTCCAGACTCCATGGCCTCTCAGAGCAGCCTGTTCCAGGGAGTTAAAAGGGGATATACTCAATTGCTTGCAAATACAGTTTGAAAGCATTCAAACATTGTGGAACTTGGAGGGATCTTCTTGTGGATTGAAAAGAAGTTCAGAATGTAATTTCTTAGTGTCTGTTTTGCTGCTTTAAATTTTCAGTATTTTCCCAGTCAATAGATAAATATGTGTTGTTTCAGACTTGCATGTTGAAATTTATGCTAGGTTATTTTATATTCTGCATATTGATGCTCTATATTTAAGGCATTTTGCAGAATATTAATYATTACAGATAAGTTGTATAGGCCTATAGTTATTTGAACAGCTGTCTTCAGTTCACCTGTTTTTCATTAGATGTTGTGTTATGACTGCCCCTGGATAGCTGCATTTGAAAGAAATGCTTGGAGAGGTGTTTTGTGACTGGTAGCTAGAAGGCTGGCAGCTGTCATCACCTTGCTTATGTTCATGTTTTCCCTCCCACGCTTGGCTGGTGATACTGCTGTGTGTGTATTCCAAGAGTTTGGCTCCTGATGATTTTTAAATACAGCTGTGGCTTTGGGGAAAAGTCCCTGTGACTCAGTAGCCTTATAGTTTTTACAGCCATAGCTGAGGCACATCTGGACTTCCTGCTTGTCTTCATCCCTCCCCTCTACCACTGCTTAGATTTTGAAGGCAAAAATGAGGGCTCTTTGACCTCCTCTTCTTCCCATAGTCAGATGCCCTGAAGAGAGCTGTCCCTACCTAGTCACTAAAGCTGTCCAACCCTCTCTACCTGTTTCTTGTTAGAGGAACCAGTATGGTCTACTTTTCAAGGAATTATGACTTCARGTAAACTTCTTAAGTAGATTCCCTGTCACTTCAGCCTTTCTTCGCAGTGAAAGTCTTCCTACTTGCCTAGCAACCTGTCTAAATGAAAATTACAGAAATTCACTCTTTAAGACCTTCTGTCAGATTAGGTTGAAAACAGTCTACAAGTTCCAGGCTAGGCTGGCAAGAACCAACAGAAAGCGTGATCTACTAAATCCTATTTTTTGGTAACTTACCTGTATTTTTCTGTTTTTTTTGTTGTTTTTTTTTTTTTCAGTTGTCATGCTCTAAATGACACGTTGTCTTTATATTGAGGATTTGTAAGATTTTTAGAGATAGAATTAGCTCTAGGAATATGTCTCCCAGCATCATGTTGTTCATTGCCACTTTACCACTTTCCAGCTGCAAAGGCCTGGTCTGGAGGATGTGGCTGTCCTGAAAAAGGAGCTGGTCCAAGTTCAGACACTGATGGACAAAATGACTTTGGAGCGTGAAAGAGAATCTGACAAGCTGAAAGATGAATGCAAGCACTTGCAGGCAGAGCAGGCTAACTCAGAGGTAAGTCATACCTAAAGCTGTCATGTGTATTGATTTTGCCATGATTTTCATATGGAAATGGAAAATACTAATTCATGGTAATGAGAAAAGCTGCTTTAAAATCAGAATGCAGGCTGTAAGCTTATTTGCGTTTTAACACCATATCTTTATTGAGATTTACCTGTCAAATTGGAAACCTATTACCTATTATTTATTGTAGGTGTGTGTTTTGTGTGTCAGATGCAAATCTGTGTTTCTTGCCTTCTCCCAAATCCATTAGATAATGGTTTTCCAGTCTCTTTTGGTACCTGCTAGACTAAAAGCTGACGGATTGCCACATCTCACCATGGTTTAAAGTCAAGATGTAATCTGTTTTGGGGCAAAAGCACCACAGTTTATGTCTTGTCATTACTGCAGTCTAAAGTAAAAAATGAAAGCTATTCTGAGGTTTGTAAAAGYTGGTTCTGTTTTGATTGAGTCAGTGGAAGATATTTTATATTGCTGATGGGAGATTTGGAAACATTTTTCCATTTTCATTGTTCCTGCATATAGATTTCTATGATAAATATTTGTTTGAAGAAGCAAAGCTAAAACTGCATCTTACTGCTGTACATATTAACTGCCTCTCCCTTAACAAATGTTTGTTTTCCTTGTATTTGGTTGCTTTCCTTTTCAACTAGTAAGCAGTTTTGTGCTTTCTGTGTAAATGAGAGAAACAGAATTGCAGAAAATTTGGCTTGAGTTTTTAAGGAAGAAACTTCCTCCTTGTACTGTCATAGCATGGAATTGTGAAATCTGAGAGTGAAATCTGTGTCTGACAGAGATACTGGCACAAAATCCTGAAAGACATGGTATCAACAAAAAAAAACTTYTGTGTAACAAACTTTATTGTACTGGAGAATTGATAAATCCATATCTGCAGAAGAATTCTCTCGCTGCAGTGTGTTGCAGCATCTTACTAGTGGATTGGTTGGTCTGTTTTTGCCACGGGCCTTAGTGACAGTTGTTACAACAACAGAGCAGTTGTTACTAGGCTTTTGTCTAGTAACACTTGGCTTGTGACTTTCATTTTGTCTCCTTTTCTGTTCTGTCTGGCCAGACAATGCCTTCCAAACTTGCAAGTGCAGAGCTATGATCTCTAGTGAAATGGGGTTCTTGCAGARTCCCCCAGCTTATATGAGGGAGAGACTGCAAGATGTGCAGAGTGCCCAGTTGCTTCTAGTATCCTCTGTCTGTTGGGATCTGTGGGCATGAAGGATTCCTGGTGTTTCGTGTGTCCTAGATTTCAGAACTGCAGTTTTAACTTTCTGTTTCTTCATCTGCAATGCAGAACTTTAGAGCAGCTCTGCCTTGTAGTACAGCTTCCCTCCTTCCCTCCCTCCTTTTTTCCCTCCCACTAATAGATACGTGGAGCCCCAGCAATTGTATGAGAGTACAGTATTTTGCTAAATATGAATCTACTATTGTTCTCAATTTAAAATTATGTATGCCAAGAACTTGATCAGACAGGTAGGAAAATGGAATATCCCAGCTGGAGTTCTGAATGTGATGTGGTTTGTTATGTGGCCATGTAAGTTGTTGTGTAATTGTAATTTGGTTTTAACTGTGGGAGCTAACAACTCTGCTGCAGCATGTAAATTGAAACTCAGCATACTGTCACTCTCATCTTTTGTAGTTCTGGATATTATATTTAGTTTTCATTTGAAGATTAGATGGCACAATGACATAGGCATAACTGAAATATTTTGTATTGTAACACGCACAGAAGTAGCAATTGCTCTTGTTGGCCCTAATTAGGTGTGCTAGGGCTTTGACTTACCTAGCTGTTTCAAAGTGCAACCTTTAACAGGAAGGGGAAAAAAAAAGTCTCAGTTCTGCTGGAAGTAATGGTCTGTGACTTCATATAAAAAGTCTTAAATGCATGGAAAGTTTATAAACTGCACTGCAATAGTGATAATAATATCAGGTGTCTGTTCAGTGTCACCAGTATGTAGTCTGAACCAGAGAAGACTGAATTTCCTTGTGGTAAACCATGGCAAGCAGGGGCATTCACGTTTTTCTCTGAAATGTTACTGTCTTCTCTGCTTAATTGTTACTTATGGCAACAGTAGCCTAAGACATTGGTAGGAAGACAAGTTCGAAATAAAAGCTTTTCTGTCAATGCGAAGTGACAGAAGAAAAGATGCTTCTAAAAAACCCAAATTACTTGAAGTCGTAGTGCTGAAAACTTCCCACTTTGCGTCTTTTGTTTCACAGTATGTTTTAAAAATAACCTAGAGAAAACAGGACCTGGGAAGCCCTCTATCCACCGCCTGGATGTAGCTCTGCTCATAGAAGCTTGGCTGTGTTTTGTCCCTGCTTGGCTCTTTGCGACCGCCTTGCCGCAAGGGCTGAAGGAGTCCCACGGTTCTTAGGCCTTCCTAGGCCGCAGCTTTTTGCTGAGGAGGATGTGGATACTCACATTTGTGCTGTTATTCAAAGCATAACTTGTAAAGAAGTTATCCTTGCAGCCTGGTGAAGAGAAGAGCATTGGTTGTTGGCACTCTGTGTGTCTTTAAGCGCTGCTGCTGAAGCAGTTTTACCTCTTTTTGTAGTTGTGGTGGCAGCAGTGCTAGCACTATCCTGCTGAATATTTCTTTTTAACTGTTTGGGATGATTAGCGAGGAATATTAAACTATTGAAAACCTTTATGTAAATTAAACACTTAAAACATTAATGTTACAGATGTTTAAAGCTGTGCGAGGGAGAGAACCGGAGAAGYTGTCCAGCTCTGCAGTTACCACCTAAGGGCATTTAATGTTACACCCCCTCCTTTCTGTGTTGAAATCTATACTTTATTTCAGAGCTGTACCCAAAGCTATGGTGTCTAGCTGTCTGAGATGAATGCTCATTTTGCTACGTGCCTTCCATGTTTAGCTTCTCACAGATGAATGTTCATTTTGATATACGCCTTCCATGTTTAGCTGCTCACTGTAGTGAATCCTACATGGTAAACATGTTATGGGAGCAGCTGCACCGCTCCAGGGCTAAACATTTCTATGTCTCTCTGCAGACTGGGATCTGGTTCAGTTTTCTGATAAGTCTTCCTACAAGCCATAAAAGACAGGGAATAGGCTTGGCAAATAATTATCCTGAAAGCATACAGTGTTAAATGAGTGGATTAAACTATGGGTGAATTTGCTAAAGCCAAAAAACTAAGCAAAGGCATTAAAAAAATCCATATTTGACAGCAAATTTGAGGAAATGTTATCTACTAACAGCTTTTGTCACTGCTTATTTCCATCTTTCATCCATCCATTTTATTTTTTTTCTGCTTCTAATGGAGAAACTTAAACTTGAGGTAATTTTTTTTACATCTTCTTATTCTTGTATTAGATCTCTGTAGTTAGACAGATTTTCTTATTGGTTCATTGGTTCCTTAGCCAAACAGACACTTCGCCAGTGTCCCAGTGTCAGGAGTGATTATTCACCTGTGAATGTTTTCATGAAGATACATCCATGTCTCTCTGTCTCTCTAGGTTGAAAAGCTGCAGGGGCGTCTTTAACAAGTTTCTGCACATTTTCTGCGTTACATTCTTTCACCAGTCAAACATCCATGCTGTATTTTTTGAGAGCATCCTGGAAAGGTTATCTGCCACAGACAGAAGCTGCTTCTGTCCAGTAGCTACTAACTGCTCAAAACAGAGCTCTTGTAAAGAATAGCATTACAGAACACAGAATTAATAACAACATGTAGTGCTATAATGAATATGTTCCTTTTTGGTCTTGCTATTTATGTAGGAAGGTCAAAAATATGAATATTGTCTGTTACTTATGTCTATAATTTCTAAAAACAACACAGAAGTTGGGATGTATATATGTACAAGAGAGAAATGTTACCGTTTCTGTAATTCTCACACTTCTTTACTAAACAGRAGTTCATTCTTGAAATTGTTATTTATACATTCCTGCCTCAATCTGTGGATATGAGAACCATAGAAAGAAATGCTGTTGTTATATGGTGTATTCCAAGTTAGTGCATCTACACAGTGCATTTTATTTTCTGTATTACGAGTATACAAGACAATTTTTCYTCTGTCTATTTGTTACAAAAAAAGAGAAGCGTTAATAGTGAGTAYGAGCCAGTTGCTAGCTTTTGGGTAGTGTATTGCAAACACATTTTAATTGGAGAATTCAGTGTTCCATTCACACTCTATGAACAAGTTAGTTTTGCCATCTAAGACAAGGTTCGTGTTTCACATTTTTCAACTCTATATGGAGAGGTCACATTTGTGAAAGATGCTTTTTCTCTTTTATCATCTTATACAAAGATCTCAGAGGTCACAGGRTATCAAGCATGATATTATTTCCTGTTAACCCAAACAAAGATGTTTTAGGGCAGCCGCTGTTACCACTGTGAGGTGCTTTTCTTCTGTGCTTTCCTTTTTGTGCCTATCCCATTGAAAGGGGAAGTGTTTTTTATAGGATTATGCTGGCCTGCAGGCTTGCTCAGAGTTCACACCAAGTCTGCATCAGAGGCAGGTGTTTTAACTGCCTTCTGCTTCTTTTTCCAAGACATTTTGCTCTGGTGAGGGGCYTTGCAGGAAGATTTTAGCAGTATAACTGCAATGACTTGGGCGAGTGTTCACTTTGAGCTACAGCTTTAATAATTGTCTATGGATAWTCTTTTGTGATTTTTATCAGTTGCGGGCTCAACTTCTTTCTTTTTTGTTAATTGGACTTTTGTTAATTGTTAAGGGACAAATTCGTCTCCTTGATAGAATATGGGTTTATCTTGTCTGGGGAGCTCTGTTCTCTGGTAATGTTGCAGTTGATAGTGCTCCAAGATGAGGTTGCATCAGATTTTTTTTTTCTTAAGATATTTATTTGAATAAAAGATGCTTTTTATTTTGCTACCGGGTATCTCATTTTTGTTCAGGTTATACATTACATGCAAATCTTTTAGTATTAAACATGGATTTTTTGTTTGTCCATTCAGGCTACCATTAACCAGCTAAGAGCTGAACTTGCCAAAGGACCTCAGGAAGTAGCTGTGTATGTCCAGGAGCTGCAAAAACTTCAAAGTTCAATCAAAGAGCTAGAACAGAAAAACCAGGTGAGAACATTTTTATTTCTTACACTTATCAGCTCTCATTAAAGTGGAAACATTGCCTTGGGAAGTGCTAACCAGAGACTGACAAAACACTTCCTTGGTGTTGCAGAAGTGGAGATCTTTTTTTTTAAACATTTTGCTTAATGGGAGGCATATGCACAGCAGGAGGGTAATTCTAGTGATTGTTGTTACGCCACTTCTGAAATCCCTGGGCYTGTTATGCTTACACGTTTCTAACAGCTGTGGTATATGCTGACATATAACGATATAGTGAGCCACCATCTCACATTAAAAAAGTGATATCCTCCAAACTATGACAATGTTTTCACAAAAATCATGCTTAAAAAGACATTCTGAACTCTTATTTTTCTACCAATTTCTTAGCTTTCAGATTTTACTTGTATCGTATTATTTGGCCTTTTATCATGGTCATAAAAGGTGGAGAATTGAGTTAARCCCCAGAACCTTCTCAGTCAACAAATATTTTATGAGAGCTTTTATCAAAGTCCTGTGAGCTTGCTGCATATACTTCAAGTAACACATTACATATGTACATTAAGAAAGCWTGTGGGTTGTGGGACAAAAATGGAGATAAGGAAAGAAAGGAGAAAAGGAGGAAGATGTATATATCTGTTGTTATGTTTGTATAGATAATATTGAATGTATGCACTATTCACACTGCATGAGTTTACCTAGCAGCAAGCTTTTCAGTCTTGGAAAAAAGGAAAGGACAGGGACTGAACACTGCATATTTAGTGTAACTCAATACCAAAAGAGCAACTGCAAGGAATATAATAAGATGCAATAAAATTCAGTAAAATATAGTTTACTTTTAGGAAGATGGCACTTGGTTTAACTTATAAAAATCAGTTTCAGAACTAAGCTTGTGAGAATTAGAACTAAGCATGGACAGGCAACACTGAATCAAGCTTTGGCAAAATTATTAACATAGAGGATAGAATATTGGCCAGAATATCTTGCTTTTCCATTAAAATGTAGAGTGAAACAGTTTGAGTAAGATAAATATGCTTTAACAGGACTCCTGTACTATGTCAGCTTAATGCTGAATACCGCTTGTGGACTAGGAAGACAAGAAGTGGCAGCGAACTCCTTTTCCTCCTCCTGTTTCAGTGATGTAGGGCAGTTCACAACCACCTCTTTATGCAGCTTTTCAAAAGGAGCTATSCATAGGAATGCTTTATTAGCCAAGGAATCCGGACCTGGAGGAACTGGACCTAAAATTGGAAAAGGCAAGACTAGCTTCCCAAATCACAGGAATAGCTCCCTCTTTGGAGGAGATATCAATGCAGAACAGAATACATTGCATTTTGTTGTGTGCATCGATTTGTAACTCCATTGCAATGCAAAAAGATATTTCTGTGCATTGACACTGAGATTTTTTCAAGATCATATCTGACCTTAGGTAAGCAAGCTGTTTCTTATATTTTCAGGAAAATACAATAAAAGTGCAGATGACAAGTGCGTCATCTGCTTTTAAATGTGTCATTTTCTTTTAAAAAGCAGAGCCCTTACGGTGACTGGCTTACTATGCAGAGCCAAGCGTTAATTTAGAGCCCAGTAATGGCCTGCAGCCCTAAAGAGGCTAACACAGGGAAAACTAGTGTCTCCTCTGGATGAGACTGTAATTCCAACCCACTGCACATGTGGGTTTTCTTTTAGGAAAAGTGTGATGTCTAATATACAGGGAAAACATTTAGTTTCCAACCTTCTACTGACATAACTTGACACATTTCAGAATAGTCATCACAATTCTTTTAATCTCTGACTGCTGGACAGCTGTACCACATTGTTCTTGTACGRTTTGATGGAACAGCACAAGAAAAGGGATCAGGGTTGTGTTTCCTGCCTGTGTCTTGTTCTGCTTTGAAAACTAAGGTGTATGAAAACTTCAGTGTATGCTGGAGCATAATGACATTTCCTCTTGTCTGCTTATCTAAGTTCCTTTTCTTTGGAAGTCAAGGTTTGGGGGAGAGGGGTGGCTGCTGTGTGCTGATATATCCCAGTGTAAGTTTGACGTGCAGCTGGGACATGCCTCCAGGTAGGACATGACCCTGGATCCCCTGTTTTCAACATAACCTGAGTGGCCTTAGCTCTGGTGGCCTTGGTTCTGCTCATGGGCTTCACTCCTCCATGAAGAAAGTACCASCATGGGACAAACTCAGCTCTTTTCTTGGGAAAATAGTGAAGCCATTTGTGAGTGCTGTGGGGGACTGGCACCTTTCAGGGACAGTGGCTCTGGGYTGCAGTCCATTGACAAGATCTGGCTGCTTTACACATTATCGTTGCTTATGGAAAAGAAAAGCAGCTGCAGAACAAGATCAGCAAATCCAATCTGCTACTTTTGGCTGTCCTCTGAATAACTCATAATGGGGTGACGAAGAGGCTTTGCCTCTTCTCTGTTTTATGTAACATTCTTGAACGCCTCCCAGAATCCCAGTCTGCTTCAAGACAGTGTTAACTGTCACTTTTATTTCCTTCCCTTTTTTCCTTTTTTTCCCCCAACAGTAATTCAAAATTTAAACTAGCCTTAGATCTTGTTTCCTACACTGGCTGTTCATAAAGGAGCTCTTAGCAGTTCCACATATGGCATGAGAAGAGTTACAAAGTGGTAGTAGTAGTAGTAGTAGTAGTAATGCTTTATTTCTAACTTGTGCTGTTGCAATGAAAAAGTGTTGGTATTTTGGAAGTATAACTTGAATGCAATTGCTGGCCACTGGCAGATCCTGGCTGGCCACTTCTCTTTAATGAAATGGGCATTACAACTTTCTTTTAGATTGTGAGGGTGACATTTACAGTAAAAGCCAGGGGAGCCTTGCCACTCCCCTTCAGGAGGATAAAGGTGGCACYTGACATCAGTCTATTCTTTATGTGATTATTCCTGCATTTCTTACATGCACCTGAAAAACTTTTATATGCTTATAACAGCTAAAACATGCCGTATTTTTCAAGGAACATTTTAAAAGAGACTATTTTTGGGCCAGAAACCATTTACCAAAATTTGCTCTTGAGCCAGAATTTTTGGCCAACTTGTATTTTCTGGAAAGTATATGTTTTAATGGAGGCTCAAGATACCTGTTAGAGAATTAACTATATTTATTCTTAAAGGGGTAGCTAGATGCCTAGAGCTGCCATTTGCACTTTAACTTCCTTTCAAACCTTCGCTGAATCTCTTCAGTTCCTAGATTATTATTAACCATACAGAGGTATTTTTAATTCAGGTTAGTGGTAAAATATAGTCATCATCTGTTGAAATATGTAAAGAATAAAAGGTCAGTTCAGCTTATTTTTCTTTCTCTTAGCAAAATATATTTTATCCCTGGATACCATAAGGAAGTATGCCTTTAAGCTCACTCAGCACAGCTATAGTAGCAGCTCAGACTGTCTTCCCTAGGAATCCTGTTCCAAACCTGCAGAACTGTCTGATGTTTTGATATATATGTTTTGATACTGAGTATCCACATTTTTCAGTCTGCTGTCTATGAAAGTGTTTATATATATATATATATATATATCTGTATATCTCTGTATACAGAAATGAAAGAGTCACTGGAGAATATAGTGCCCCTGAAACTGTAGGATGAACATGAGAATTTAAAAAATGTTCACACTAACGCTCTCCTGAAATGGATGTTAATAAGATATCGAGCAAGAAATGGGACCTGATTTCAAGAAGCTAGAAAGAATGACCTGTGATGGACAATGACCAGTGCCTCCTGGCAGCTATATTTCTGTGTTTAAACAACTAACACTGGAAAATTGAAACAGTCCTCACAGCATCTTTATCCTGCATGSAGGTCTCTGGAATTCAGTTTAATGCCTCAGCTAACCTTGGCGAAAATGTACAAGATCTTAAAYAATATCAGGTCCATTAACATACGTTATTTCTACATCAGTATAGTTTTAATTTGTTCATGAAATTYGATAACAGCATTCTGTGACAGCTGAAATTTGTCTTTCTTCTTCTTGAACTTTCTCCCCATTTTTTGTCTAGACGTGTAAAATTGATAATAAGCTATTTCCTTGCAATATTTGAGGTTAATACAGTAAGAGAAAACTAAGAGTCAAGAAAATTATGCTTTTGSGGGGTGGGAATTAAGTTTTGTTGTGTTTTCATACTCAAAACAGCCATCTCAAAACAACCATTGAGCTGATTTGTATGCTGGAAATTAGATGGAATGAATTAAAGTAAAAAAGCACTTTCTTGTAAATTGAAGGTGAAATCCTAGGTTTTTCATTCACTGATTTATCAACATCACAGCAGTTATTCATTTTTGCATATTTTCTTCCATAATCTCTGCCATAATTTGGATATCAGATTGTGCTGCAAATATGGCAAACTAGGCAAAATTAGGATGCTTTTGGAAATGATCCCACTGGATGACTGCATGGAATTAGATGAGAATTAAACCACACATGTTATTGTGTAGGAAATTATATGGAGGACAATAGTATTTTAAAACATTTTCTGTGCACTAAAACTCAAGTTACTATTTGCCCTTTTCCTCCAATACACATGTAGGATCTGAAATTTGAAGGGAATTAAATTAGTCTTCAGGATATGAGAGTGGAGTGAATGTTGTTTTCTGACTAAGAGCAAGTGGATTATGAGACTGTGAAATACAGTATTTTGAGTTGAAAATGTGCTATTCGCCCTCCAGAATCAGTATCTGTAACATGAAATAGAAACAATTCTTTTAATGCAGTTTTGGAGATACTCATGAGAGCCCTTCACTATTTTGCATCATCACTAGAGAAGAAATTTGAAATAATTTGAATAATACATTGAACAGATATAAGCAGAAATGCAATTAAATTGCTGTGTAACTCCCTTTGTAGAATCTGATGGAGAAGCTGCTGAAGAAAGAGCTGGATTACACGCAGCTAGAAGAGAAACACAATGAAGTGTCTGTGAGTAAGAAGAACGTGCAGGCAAGCTTTCACCAGAAGGACCTGGACTGCCAGCAGCTTCAGGCCAGGCTGTCTGCGTCTGAAGCCTCGGTGCAGAGGTTACAGACAGAGCTGGGTGAGAAGGCAGAAGCGAACCAAAAACTGAAAGAAGAATTGTCTGAAGTGGAGACAAAGTACCAGCATCTCAAGGCAGAAAGCAAACAGCTCCAGCAGCAGAGGGAGGAAAAAGAACAGCATGGCCTACAGCTCCAAAGTGAGCTCAGTCAGGTAAAATTCTGCACTTTTACATCTGTTTTCTTTTTTCCTTTCTCTGTGCTTTTCCTTATGCGAGCACTTCTTTATTGAAAGGAAGTATACAAATACCTAATTGGTATTTAAATAAATGCATGTATTTAAATAAATTTAAATAAAKAAGGCAATCTTCCCTACTCCACAGAAAGTGAAATATAATCACATTATCTTGTCACAGAAGTAAAAAGCAATCAAWCAAACAAACAAAAACAAACAATCTAGGGAGAAGAGACTGTGATAAAAGAGTGCAGAAGCTCATTGGGATCTGTATATTGTTATACCTGTATCATTTTAATAGGCCCATATATTTATCAGAGGCAAGTGAGAATAGTCTTAGCCACTTTGCACAGTAATGCTCAGTAAGATCTAGAATTCCCAGTGCTTTCACACTATCAGCATTTTCACAGCTGGGAATGCTAATGCCCTTTAATAACTGCATCCATCCATCCATCCATCCATCTATCTATCTATCTGTCTGTCTGTCTGTCTTTCTCACTCTCTTTCTCTCTCTATCTTTTTCTCTCTTTCTCTCTCTGTCTTTCTCTCTATCTATCTGTAGTATCTCTCCCCTTTTTCTAGCTGATCTGAGACTAGTTTCTTGTCCACCTTCCTTCTCATGCAGAACTGTCCTGTTAAATCAACTCTGTTTTACAGTTTTCCTCTCCTCTTCTTTTTCCAACATCTGGTGAAATGTCAGGTGTTGCCAAATGACATTTTAACCCAGAATGATGAGTTTCTGTGACAAATATGGTAGCAGACAATGCATCCACAACTGCTTAAAGTCTTTGGAGGGCCTTCATCAACAAGAAGTGGGCAAGGGTAACTTTTCTGGTTCAGAGGAGGAGCTGAAGCCCTTCAGGGTTGAGGATATGAAAAAAACAAGTTCAGGCAGAGTATGAGTAGTAGTTTCATTCCTTATAGTAATCTTTTTACTAATTTATTACTCCATAGGGAATGTGAAAGAAGTGGAAAGCCTTTCATTTTGCCTTAGATTTGAATAGGCTTGGCTTTCTTTAAAACTGAGTAGTGAATAGAGAATTATGAACATGAAAATAAGGATTAACATGACGTGTTCATGTTGCTTCCCTGAGTCTCCTGAAACATATTCTGCTTATACAAGTTATTGCTGTTAGTACATGGAGAGCATACTGGCCCCAGCAGTTTACATGTTGTTCTTCTGTTAAGTACAATGAGTTACAGAAGTAGGATTTTCATTTAACATTAATCAAATTGACTTTTAAGACTACTTGAACTCTGTTTTTTATGACATCTTGGAGGTAATATGTCAGATAGGAGAAGTGTTGGAACACTGTCTCCAGTTCTAAGTAGAAAAAAAAGATTTCTGTTAGAATGAGGTTCTTTATTCATCCTTTGCTGTAAGTTTGTCATTTGGAAGTGAGTGTGTCTCAATTCTGAACCCSTTGTAAAAGCCTATAATAAATTGTATTGCAAGTTATGCCCTGGAAGAATTGAGGTTTGGCAGAACTTTGTGTGTATGCGTTACACCTCCAAAATGTCTTTCCTTTTCTCATCAGTCTTCTAAGAGGAAAAATGAAAAAAAAATATTTTAGTTATCTGCTTAGGAATCCTCTTTTGGTAAAACTGCCTCAGTCTGCCTCGGCAACAAGTGTGCAGGTTCTGAAGCAGAGCCAAGAAGCTCGGCTGAAACCTGGCTTCGGGTTTGGAGGGCGTTTTCAGGAAGGGGTTTTGGGGTGGGAAGATGAAGAGGAGGGAGTGTGAGTCATTCATTGCTGTGTGAGTTCTTTGGCAAGGAAATGCAAAAATTTGGGAAGGAATTAAGTCTAAGCAAGAAAGTCTATGCAAACTGCTGGTTCTCAGTTTGCATTTTAGAATTGTATTGTAAAAATATAAAACCCTTCACTTATAAAGTAGGATTTTAAAAAGTGCAACCAGAGACAGAATTTCTCATGCTTATTCATTTAATACTTTAATGGTATTATGTCTGAATATATTTCTGCAGTTCATGTTGTCATAATGAATTGGTGTTTTTATGAAGGTGGATGCAGAGCAAGCTTACAAGCAATGATAAGAAAGCCAATCTAGTAGCTTTAATGAGTGCAAACTTATGTTTTGCTTCCATTCTTGAGGAACAGGAAGAGGTGAGATGAAGGCTCTTCTGAAAGGCCTAAGCTGTTTTTGGTGTGCTAGATGGGCCTCTTGTGGACTGGTTAACTTTGTATAAATAGGAACCGAGAGTGAGTCAGTGAAGTGATCTTCATTATGGGGGAACTGTAGAAGGAAGTTTCAGCGACTAATTTTGCTTCCAAGAAAGTATAGGGGGGAGGGTGGAACGTGCACATTCATACACACACACACACACACACACACACACACACCCTGCTTCAATCTTGAAGAAATGTTAACTCCCAATAACTAGTGTTACTGCTGGTGACTGCAACTTTTAAAATCTAAATTTATACTTTCATCTAGAAACTCTAATATACTCTATAATATATATTATTCATCTATAATATATATCAGCAATATAACATATATATTTAATATAACATATATATTATAGAGAGAATAGATATTACAGATCTATAATAAATGTTACAATTTTGTTGACTTAATGTCCATCTTAATGTCCTTCAAAAATACTTAGCTTTAGAACTCCGTGAATGCCAGCGAGCACACATTATGTGTTTTGCTTTTGTAAGTGTATTTTTTGCAGGATATGGTAAAACATAAATATTTTACTTAAGAGTGTTTCACAGAAAATAAAATGGTTAGACTTTACAGRTACCTTAGTACATTTTTATAAATAATCTGTTTGAAATTATTAATTAATGGCTATTGGCTGTGGTTTTTTTGTGGAGACTACAGGTTTATAACTTTACATATAACTGTGGCCAGTAACAATGTATATAATAGATAATAGTATCCATAACTTAACATGCTTATGGCTGATAACTTATGGACCCATTACAAAATGTTTATTAGTGTAATATAATTATCTGTAGTAAATGTGACTTTTGAAAATGCTGTTTCTGTCTTCTCAAATATTCTCTCCCAGTTTCAGACAAACTGTGGATTTGGTAGTTATCTCTTGTTGCTTGATTAGAAAAAAAAAATCTAACATTCTAATAGAATTCTAATAGAATATTAGAAAATTCTAATAGAATAAAATTCTAATCAAGCAACATTTTCTCCCCTTCTTGATTAGGTTTTTTTTTTTTCTCACCTCTTGGTCATGTTTTTAGTGAGGAAATATTAGTAATTTAGTGGTTACTGCAGCGAGAAACAGCCAATGTTCTTGCTTAATAGTATCATTTCTTCTCATTCTCTGCACTCCTTTTTCTACCACTGCACAGTCATAGTTTCTCAGCCACATGCAGGGCAGTGCATTCAGAGTATATGGGGCTGTGGACATKTAAAGGAATAATTCAGCCTGATTTCCTAAGGAAATAAGGCAGAGAAATGTTTCTGTCCCTGCTCCCTGCAACTTGGGCAATGTTCGTTAACTTCAGACAATTTTAACAGAAAGTCAAAAACTCTTCAACGTGAGGTCCTTCAGCACTAGGTGTTYGTGGAAAAAGGCACCTCGGAAAGTGTTGCTGGCTCCAGAATGACTGATAAACCAGATGATTTTCTTTTTGCAGTTGCACAATAAACTTCTCGAGACAGAGCGCCAGCTAGGGGAAGCGCACGGGCGGCTTAAGGAACAGAGACAGCTCTCCAGTGAAAAACTAATGGACAAAGAACAGCAAGTGGCTGATTTGCAATTAAAACTTTCTCGTGCTGAAGAGCAGGTGGGTTTTCTACACGGACTCTATTTTTAAGTGGTTCTGATAGAAGCCTGTGTATACATCCATTGTGATGTTGAGGTTTATAGCTTGTCCTTACAGGAATTCCATCTGACTAATATGGTTAAAATCTGGCAAAGTTGTCAAAATCTGCCTCCATGGCACTTGCATTGCAGATTTGCTAAGCCTAAAGAACTTTGATGTATGTTAAGTTCTTGGTGTGCTACTGAAATTCCTTGCACTTAAGAACTTTGTCTAAGTGGCTTGTAATTTAAAAAAGAAAAGGCTTAAGTACCCCTAAACCAATGCGAGTGAAATATAGTGTGCAGATATTCTTGTGAGATGAAGCCCCATGTGCAGGAAAAAAAAAGTGAATGTAGCACAACCAGTTGGCCATTCATAGTTAATAGACTGTAGGATGGAAACATAGAAAATAYTTGTTTTATTAATTGTTCATTGTGAAGTTTCTATTTATTTTAATGAGCATCTTGTATATGTTGCTGGTTTACTGCTACCTCTAAGTGGATTGGCCACATATCTGAGTGGTATGTTTAAACCTTTTCTATAGCTAATTTGCAAAGCCTTGACCAGTATTACTTGCACAGAAAGCAATAAAAGGAGAGAGATTGCTAATGCAAAGTTGCTACTAGAATTTCTTTATAATAATCTAATAATATTGATAATAGTTTTGTTTTAAGGGTATCTGTATTATCAGTTATGTTACAACTTAACAACTCTTGGGAAAACAACGTACTAAAATTCCTTACCTGTTAGATTCTGAGAACTAAAAATACATATATCTGATACTGCTTTTATAGTATCTCACTTGTGATATAGTATCTTACTTATTAATAGTATAGGAATGCTTTGCATAGATTTTGATTCTTTAACTGGCATCACACACACTCATTTTTAAACCAACTTTCAAATACTCRTGCTTCATTTAGAATCTTTTAGGACAGGATAACATTAGGATAAACATTAAATGCTGTAGCAGGCTAGATGGTGCTTGTTCATTGATTTTAATTATTTTTTCCCYGGAAGCTAAAGGAAAAAGTGGCAAATTCCACTGAATTACAACATCAGCTGGATAAAGCAAAACAGCAGCACCAGGAACAGCAGACACATCAGCAAAACACTACRGCAAAGCTACGAGAAGCCCAGGTAACTTGGTGATTGTGTATTCTTATGTAAATATGTATTTGAGCAGCTCTTATTTTTTTGGTGCGTTACTTGGTAGAAGTGACTTGCATGACTTTTTAGTAGTATTCAATAAATTAATAAATAAATCTAGAACAGCATATACTGTGTTTAATATGTTTATCCAACRTTTTATGCATTAGGAATAACTTCTAAGGTCCATATAATTAAGGAAGCTATTATGCGATTTTCTAGAATGATTTGGAGCAAGTGCTACGACAAATCGGAGATAAGGACCAAAAAATACAAAATCTTGAGGCCTTGCTTCAAAAGAGCAAGGAAAACATCTCCTTGCTAGAAAAGGAAAGAGAGGACTTATATGCAAAAATTCAAGCTGGTGAAGGAGAAACTGCAGTTCTTAACCAGCTACAAGAGAAAAATCATGCATTACAAATACAGGTAATAACTCAGAGATCTACTTCCTTTCTGTTATTGTCGTTATTGCATCTTACTTCCTTAGCTTGTGTCTAATGAGATATGACATTAGTCTTTTCTGTACTTTTCTGTTTCTTTTGATACTACTTAAAGTATCTTGCCTTAAATTTCACCGCATTTGTGTTTTGATGACTYACTTGCTATCAGCAAAGTGGAAAAAAAATCCTAGATATCTCCTATGGTATGTTCGTATGATAGTTATATATGTGCCTAATAAATATATTTTGCATGTATGTATTTGGTTTGCTTATTTGAGAAAGAGGTTTAATTCCTGCCTTAAACACCAAATTTCAGTTCAATCTATATCTGATGACTCCCTTGGTATGGTTACAGTAAAGCCAAATTGTTCAACCCCTTTTGCTTTCATTTTGAACTGTTAACATATGTAAGCTTTGGTGTTGTGCAAAGCATAGGTTGACTGTGATATGGTCAGAATGAAAAATGTAAGAGTTGAGCAGCATTGGGACTCCAAAGCCATGATAAGACACTTTAAAATTCATATATGACTTGTCTGGATATCTGGATATATCCATTTCCTATCTTCTCTTTTAATTCTCTCTCTCT